CTATCCTTACTAGCCTAGTAACCTCCTGTTAAGCAATCAACAAAATTCATTTCTTGGTATCCTTCTGGAGAAATTATATATATATATATATATAATCTTCCGCCTTTTATACACAAATGGTGACCTGTGGATGTGCCAATGCCGCAGCCTGGCTGGGCACAATTCACGAGCCACTTGTCAAGCAGAAACGAACTTTATTTTTAAAACACACGCTGAACCACAGGAGCTCTTCAGGAATTCCCTCAGAGCCCAACTGCCACCTCGGGCTTCCAGCGAGCCTCTCAACCCCCCCACTCCTCCTGCTCTTGAGGCCGATTGGCTGGGTCGCATGGGCGGAGCCAAAAGAGTCCCCCAATGAGCAGCTCCGTGGTCTGAAAGGGTGGGGAAACAGCCCAATGAGCATCACCACAGAGGAGCCAATCAGCTGGAAGCTTGCTGGGGCCATGGTGAGCCAATCAGCTGGAAGTTTGCTGGGGCCGCTTAGGCTGTGGCTCTCAACATCTCCCCCTCTCTGTTTAATTAAACAACAAGCATGTGGCTTAGGGACCGTGCCTGCCTTAGGTTGTCCAATACTACATATGGTCCTTACCTGTCATTGGATTATCTGACCTCAAGGTGTCAGCCTCCTGTCTTAGGTTGGTACCATTGCAATTGGATTTACCCTTCATTGACTACCAGTCTAGCATACAGCCACACCTGTGGATAGACCTTTGTACTAGTGGTGGGGTGAGGTTCTTTGCCTTTTCTGCTTGGAAAAAAAAATCCTGGTTTCATTAGCCTCCAGGTGTGGGAGAACCACTGTCGCAGATGTAAGGATAGCCAAACAGGAGTTCTGGATATCAGCTGTTATGGATTTGAGCCAAATCATCTTCTTTTTGGTCTGTAGAAATCGCTTTAGTTAATCTCTCTGGAATCCAAATTGGCTGCTGTTCTCCCTGTGGAAACACATAAACAGTGCCCTCCACTGAACTACACTCCCAGATTTTTAATTTCTTTACTGTGAACTCTGCTCATGTCCTTTGCCTAGCTTTCTGTTGGACTATGGGCTACTTGGTCTTTTGCTTAAAGATTTATATATGTTAGGGGAAATTAGTTACAAACATTTTTCCTGTTCATTGTTTGTCTTTTGACTTTGCTTATGGTTCCTGGGTTTTGTGTTCTAGAAAAACTATCTTCTTTCCAGTGTTTCAAAATATTTAGACACAGTACTTTGATGATGTTATTATTTCCATGTAAGTATCTGATCCATATAATTCATCCTCTATGATGTGGGCCCTAGCTCTAATTCTTATTAGAGAACTCCCTGTTTTCCCAGTCTTATTTATAAAATCATCTTGCCCCCGTGTGCTGATGGAATGTAGACTAAAGGAAAAAGAGGATTTATAGGATGACCCCTATGGATTGAACCAATGGGTGGATAGCTGTGTAGTTTACTGACTTGGGAAGAATGGGGGAGGAGCCAGGTTTAAGTTGGAGTTGTGTTTGGGGCATGTCATTCTTGAGATGTCAAGTGAGAAGCTGGGAAGGCTATATTTTAGAGAATCAGCTAAGGAGAAATACTTATCATAGAGTACATGCTGAATGAATGATGAATGTTTTTTTAATGAATGAAATCTCTTTAAGTGTCTTCTAGTTTTCACTTGTACAAGAGTATGAAGAGAGAGCCTACGATGGGAGAAGGTCTTTGCCAGATACTCTTCCAGTGCAATGAATAACTAGAATGATAATAAAGAACTCAAAAAAACTTAACACCAAAAAAAACCTAATAACCCACTCAATAAATGGGCAAATGACCTAAATAGACAGTTCTCAAAAGAAAAAAATACAAATGGCCAACAGATATATGGAAAAATGTTCAATATTCTTAGCAATCATGGAAATGAAAATCAAAACTACACTGAGATTTCATCCTACCCCAGTTAGAATGTCAGTCATCAAGAATACAAGTAACCCATTGCTGGTGAGGATATGGGGGAAAAGACACACTCATTCATTATTGGGGAGACTTCAAATTATTGTAACTGCTTTGGAAAATAGTACAGAAATTCTTCAAATGACTAAGAATAGGTCCACCATATTATCTAGCTGTCCTATTCCTTGGTATTTATGCAAAAGAACTAAAGGCAGCATACTATACTCATAGTCACATTGATATTTGTAGCAGCACACAATTCACAATAACTGAATTATGGAACCAGACTAGGTACCCATCAACAGATGAATGGATAAAGAAATTGTGGTGTATATACACACAATGAAGTTTTACTCAGTCATAAAGAAGAACGAAATGATGTTATTTGCTAGCAAATGAGTGGAACTGGAGAACATCCTGCTAAGTGAAATAAGCCAGACTCAGAAAGTCAAGGGTTGAGTGTTTTTCTCATATGCAGAAGCTAGAGAGAAAAAAGTAATAAAAAAAGGGATCTTAGGCAAATGGAAAGGAGATCAGTAGAAAAGAAGCAGGGAACCAAGGGGGAGTGAGGAGGGGTGGAAAAGGGGAAGAACTGGGGAATTAAGTTCACCAAATTATGCTACGTGCATGCATGAATATATCACAGTGTATTCCAGTCATGTAACTATAATGTACCAATTGGAAAAATAAATAAATGAATGGAGACCAATAATGTAGAGAAAGGAGATCAGGGACAGAGAAGAGGGAAATACTGGGGATCAAAATGGAGCAAACTGTTATTATATATTCATGAATATGTCAAAATGAACACCACAGTTATGGATAATTAAAATGAAGTAATAAATATAGAAATTCCATAGTGTCAACAATTTCTGGAAAATAAATCATAAGAAACAATAGTAATTGACCCTCACAATTAAATTGGGAGCTTGGGAGCCTGCAATTGGAAAGACATCTTTTTCTCTATTTTTTATATGGACTGCTTCACGAATTTGATTGTCATCCTTCTACAGTGGCCATGCTAATATCTGTATCATTCCAATTTTAGTATGTGTTACTGAATTGAGTTCTGGAAAGACATTTTTTTTTGTGGTGCTGGGGATTAAACCCAGGGCCTCACACATGCTAAGCAAGCACTTTAGCACTTTACCACTGAGCTAAAATCCCAGCCCAACATGTCCTTTTTTTTTTTTTTTTTTTTTTTTTTGGTACTGGGGATCTAACCTAGGGTGCTTTACTAGAGTTGCATCCCCAGCCCCCTTTTTTTAAATTCATAAGTCTTTAATGATCATTGGGTATGTTATTTAAATTAAATAAAAGATATCAATACAAATTTCAAGTTAGAATTATTAACACAGCAAATCTGCCAGCCATGGTGGCACATGCCTGTAATCCCATCGACTCAGGAAGTTGAAAGGCAGAAGGATGGCAAGTTGAAGGCCAGCCCCAGCAGCTTAGTGAGACCCTCAACAATTTAGTGAGACCCTGTTTCAAAATAAAATGTAAAAGGAGTAGGGATGTAGCTCAGTGGTAAAGCATCCCTGTGTGTGTGTGTGTGTGTTTATTTTTTCCTTGCTTTTTTTTAAAGAAATTATTTATTTATTGGTTTTATTTTTTAAATACATGACAGTGGAATGTATTACAATTCTTATTACACATATAGAACAATTTTTCATATCTCTGTATATAAAGTATGTTCACACCAGTTCATGTCTTCATACGTGTACTTTGGATAATGATGTCCATCACATTCCTCCATCATTGCTAAACCCCTGCCCCTTCTCTTCCTCTCCCACCCCTCTGCCCTATCTAGAGTTCATCAATTCCTCCCATGCTGCCTCTCTTTACCCAACTGTGAATCAGTCACCTTATATCAGAAAACATTTGCCGTTTGTTTTTTGGGGGCATCCCCAGCCCTTTTTATTTTTATTTTGAGACAGGGTCTCACTAAGTTGCTGACAATCCTGCCAAATTTTTTAGGCTAGCCTTGAACTTTCAATCTTCCTGTCTCACTCTCCCAAGTGGCTGGGATTACACACACCACACCAGCCCATCATGTACTTTTTTGGTGGGGGAGGGAGTCAGATACCAGGGGCACTCAGCCACTGAGCCACATCCCCAGCCCCATTTTGTATTTTATTTAGACACAGGGTCTCACTGAGTTGCTTAGCGCCGCACCATTGCTGAGGCTGGTTTTGAACTTGCGATTCTCCTGTCTCGGCCTCCCAAGCCGCTGGGATTTTAGGCTTTCATCACTGCACCCAGCTCATATATTTTTGATTGAATACTTTTTGTCCTATATGAATTTTACAATTTTCTAATTATTAGAGTGGGTTATTCTGTATTTATCTTTTTTTTTTAAGACAGAGTGGAGAGAGGGAGAGAGAGAGAGAGATTTTTTTTTTTTTAATATTTATTTTTTACTTTTTCGGCGGACACAACATCTTTGTTTGTATGTGGTGCTGAGGATCGAACCCGGGCCGCACGCATGCCGGGCGAGCGCGCTACCGCTTGAGCCACATCCCCAGCCCTCTGTATTTATCTTGCACTTACTTTATGCCCAACACTTTCATGTTGTCTCATTTAGTCTGTTTTCCCCAGTATTGACAGTATCACTTCATCTTGCCCCTAGCATCTATAGGAGGTAGTAGGAAGGGGTCAGTAAAATTTAAGCTGTTTTCTACCTGATCAAATTTAGATTAAAAAAAAAAAGTCTTGAAACTTTCAAATCAATGTATCTATAGCTTAAAAATAACTATTTAAATTTTCAAAAGTAATAACTGTTCAGTGTCATGATGGAGGTAGTAGAAAGGTAGGGTTTTGTGCATGCACACGCACACATGCACCCTCGTGCATCTAGAATCTAACCCAGAGGTCATCTAACTTGTGTAAAAGACCAAATAATAATTTTTTTTGTTGTGCCAACCACATGATTTTTTTCCCCAACACTTAGCTCTGCCACAGTGGCAGGAGAGTTTAAGGCAGCAGACTGGATTTGGCCTGAGGGCTATACTTTTCAGATACCTGCTTTAACCTAAAAAGTATTATGTGACTGTTTAGTAACTATCATGATTTTTTTTCTCTCTAGGCTAATGTAATGCTTGAATATGATATTGATGAAGCTCAGGCATTGTTGGAAAAGAATTTATCAACTGCTACAAAGAATCTTGATTCTCTTGAGGAAGACCTTGACTTTCTTCGAGATCAATTTACTACTACAGAAGTCAGTATCCTTTCTTAAAAACACAAAGAGAAAAAAAAAATAATGTGAAGAATGTCCTTAAGGCTATTGTGAGGTTGTAGATGTCATAGGAAATAACATATTTGAAACTTAGACATGAGTAACTTTATAGGTTGATCAAGAAATTTGAAATGTGAACATTTGGAAAAAGCAAATTCACCTTGGTGATTGAGTATTTTTCTTTTGAATACTTTCCTAACACTTTTATAGCTAGTTGGATAGTTTAATTCTATAAGCATTTATAAATTAAAAGTCTTCTGTGTTCTTGTAACTGTTCTAACCCATATAAGATAGAGAAATCAGTGGGGCGGGGTGAGCAGGGAGTGACAAAGTCTTTCTGTATTAAAACTGCACATGCCAAAGAGCTAAATGATAATGTCATAGCAAAGTGTTAAGTTCATATATGTAGCACCAAGGGTATTTGACGTTTAGAAAAGAGATGTGAACTGGAGTTAGGTCAGGGAAGGCTTTGTTGAGAAGATGAAACAGGAAGTATAGAATTTACATCAGCAGAGAAGTGAGGTGGGGTGTTCTAGTCAAGCTCTTTGCCTTTCTCTTCTGATGTGTATCTTCCTCCTATTCCTGTCATGTTTAAAGACAAAAACCTTGGTGAGGAGGGTTATCCTTCACATATCTCTCTTCCTCACTACTAAGAGTGAATTAATGACCAGATTCTTGTCAAATTTCATTCATAAATCTCTCTGCCCAGTGCCATTAGTTATTCTAGTTCTGGCTTTCTAGAGCATGCACTTAGTAGTTTTCTAACTGTCCTTCATGCTATCCCCAGCATGAATTTACTAAGTCATTAATGTATCTTATTTTTAGTTCTCTGGTTATGATATTTCAGTGGTTGTTTATTGTATGTAAGGTATGCATATAGACACTCTGAAGTGTCCCCAGCCAGTCTTGCCTCATGCCATTGACTTTTCTGCTGTGATTCTTCCCCAGTGCACAGTAGGGTCCAAATAACTCCAGTTGGTCTTCTCACCCCTAAAATGTAGAATGCCTTTTGCATTTCCACACACTGTTTCTCCTACCTGGCATGACTTCCCCTTATTTGCCTGCAGGTATTCCTTTATCTTTCATATCTTAGTTCAAGCATCAGAACATCACTGAATATTTTCTAATCCCCTCAGGATATTTTTTTGTCCCTCTGTGCTTATTTAGCACTTTGAACCTTTGAACTTAGTACTTTGTTTTCCTTGTGCAACCATGAGCTCTTCAAGTATAGGAGCTGCCCTTTTCTCCATTGTGTAGCATGAGTGTGTGACAGGTGCTTAGTGCGTGGGTGAGGGAAGGCAGCCAATTTGAGGGCTAGTGTAGGGATCATCACTTAACTGGTGATGTGGAGAGACTTCGTTCAACTGTGAGATGACAAGGACCTAGGAGAACTGGTATTTCTGGAAAGGAGAAGATGTTAAATGTGAGAGAAAAACAGGATCTATTGACTTACAGGAACCAAAAAAAAGCGGGGGGGGATCATAAGATTGACTGCAAGCTTTGTTATTGCTAGAGCTTGAAAAGATAGCATGGTGTACAGACATGGGAGTAAGTTAGGGCATCCAGTCTCTGATAACACTGACTGGAAATCAAGGTTTTGTATAATGTCTAGTTGGAAACACAATAGGTGCTTAATAAACTGAACGCCCTGTTAAGCTAAAGAGAGGATACGAGATGAAGTTATTGAAATTTGTACTAATTTCTTATATGGCAAGATATGTGCTGAGTGATCTTTGAAATTTCATGGATGACAGACTGTCTTTAAAGCTATTGAACCAGGCACAGTGGTGCACAGCTCTAGTCCCAGCTACTTGGGCAGCTGAGGTATGAGGATCATTTGAGCCCAGGAATTCCAGGACAGCCTAGACAATGTAGTGAGACCTTTTATCAACAAAACAAAAAAAGAAAATATTGAGAGTTTCTGGCATGTACTTGTTAAATATACTACCATAGTTGACAATTGTTGATTGTAGTTCTTAACTTGGTTTTGGTAGAATTTAATTCTATTACTTTTTTAGCAATTGATACTATAGCAGGATGGCTGGCAACCCTAGTTATAATCAGTATTTGTGTACGTATGATTTTGGTCTTTGATTCATTGTGTGATTGAAGGCTTAGCCATTGTATATGTTTTCTTTAGAACTGCTTTTGCATTTTCTTTGACAATTCTTGCAGATATGGCCAGGGTTTATAATTGGGATGTAAAGAGAAGAAACAAAGACGATTCTACCAAGAACAAAGCGTAATGCTGAAAATTAAAAATGTGTTTCAGTTTTTCAAACATGTTATTTTAAATACTCCAGCATTTATCCGTAAAGAGTAACATAACTTTGTTTTTTTTAACAGCAACTGATCAAAACCTTAAAAATAAACACCATTTTATTTATTTATAAAAATAAAATAAGTTACAAATATTTTATGAAATTACAGTATTTTCTTTTCACATTTCCCAGCAAAATTCATACTGCTTTCATAATTTTGTCTGTCATAAGACAACTCTTAACTGAAATTGGCCGAAAACTGTGAGGTATGCCATGGAGGCTGACTGTTGGGAACTAGCACAGTTTACTTTTTCTTTATTGATTGATCTTACCTGTACTTGATGTGGTTCAACCACTTTGGAAATAGAAAAGACAGTTTCAGTATATGTAAACTTTTTTTTCTTTAGTACTTGTAGAACTTTTATGGTCCTTTGTTGCCATTGTCTTCTGTAAGTGGGGTTTATATGAGTTCTTCTTAAACAATAAGTATCAAGATATTTGGACTTTTCAGAAAATGGCAATTTGCCTTCCTTCATAGTTGAGACGATACTTTAAAACCCTAAATAAGTGCACAGTGTCTTTGCAATGCTAATATAAGGGAGATCTTGGCTGATGTGAAATAATATTACCCATTTCAAAGCTCATGAGCTAAAGTGATTCTGTATTTCATAACAGTTCTCCAAAGCATCTTGAATATTTGCAATGATTTAAAAAACTTGTGAGCTTTTTTATTCATGATAATAAAACTGTATATGAATAGTAAAAAGAATCCCTGGGGAAAGCCATTGGTACAGTGGAAAGTACTGGATGATACCGATTCTGGCAGAAACACAAAAATATATTATTCCATCTCCATGTAGTGAAAAGTATACTTGTACAATGTTTTGTACTTGTATTTCATATTATTAAAACACTGATGTTGAAGCTGTGTCATGATATTTTTTTCATAGATTCTCTTTTATCTTAATCTGTTCAGGTTGCTAGAACAGAATACCATAGACTGGGTGGCTTATCAATAGCAGACATCAATCTTACACATTTCTGAAGACTGGGAAACCCATGATCTAGGTGCTTGCAGATTATGTGTCTAGTGAGGTCTAGTTTCTGGTTCATAGATAGCACCTTTTCATGGTGTCCTCACATGGTGGAAGGGGCCAGGATTTTTTTTTTTTTTTAATGTAAGCACTGATCGGTCCTATTCATGAGTCCTTATAATCTACGCTCTACCCGAAGGTCCCACATCCTAAATCTATTACCTTGGGAGTTAGGATTTCGACATAAAAATTTGGGGACTACACAAACACTCATACAGCATATTTCTAAAGTTAACATGGATCTTTCCACGTATTTGTGGAGTTTATTTACTTATACATAACTAGCATGTTCCAAGACTTCTTATATTTGTAGAAACAACATAAAATCCCTTTGGAAGAAATATGGATACAGCAATTAAGAGGTTAAGCTGAAAGATACCAGAGTTCCTTGATTCAGTTTTTCTTTCATTATTTTAAACTCTCGTATTTCAGAATTTGATCTTGAATTATTGCAAGTGCTATTTTCTCCAAATTTTATTATGGTAAATATATTGGTACAAATTGTCCCTGTTAATATTAGAACAGGAATGATTTTCTGTGAACTTCTTAAAAGTTCATATAGAGCTAAACTAAATATTTTTAGGTAATGCAAGAAATACCAAGAAATAAAGCTCTTTAGAGATATGAATTACAGGGCAAAAATTAATCATTCAGCAAATATAAATAAACACCCAATATATGTCAATAATGGTGTTAGGCTCTGCTAGTTAAATTAAAGAAATTTATTTAAATCCTGCCTCTGCTAGATTGTTTGTATTGTAGTGGTTTACATTTTCAGAATAACATAACCTGGTTTGATGTGAAATCCTTAAGCTTAATATTGGTACAGTATACTGAGAATAGATTGGGCAAAAGATTGACTACAAAACTTGATACTGTGTAATGTGTTTTCCATTATAAAACAGATGTTCATTTGGGAAAATTCAGAAAACAGAAAAAGAAAAGATGTTTAAGTTTCACTTATAGTTCTCCTTAACATTTCTATGGCTTCTTTTTTCATATAGATTTTTAAAAACAGGTGAATTGATTTGTCTTTATAAATTTTTTAACATTTATTTTTTAGTTGTAGTTGGACACAATACCTTTATTTTAATGTGGTACTGAGAATTGAACCCAGGGCCTCTCACAGTGCTACCGCTGAGCCACAACCCCAGCCCATTGTCTTTATAATTTTATTCATAGTTTCTTCACTTAACATGAAATGTACTTATCACATAATGCTGTTGTACTCACATCATTTTAGTAGTTTTATATTAGTATTCTCATGACTGAGCCATAATAAATTGCCATTCTCTTCTAGTTAGATACTTGGGTTGTATATAAAATTTTTATATTATAAGTAAATAATTTAGCAGTTTATGTTTTTATAAACACTTTTTCTTATATTTAGGATTTTTCCCTGAGTCTAGATTACCAGAAATATAATTAATGGAGTCAGAGATTTTAGCATTTTGTTACTGACTTAACTAGAGAGTAATTTTAATATAGAGGCTGATGAGTATGTTGATAAGTGATTGAAATATTGTTAAGAGCAACAGGCAGAAGCTTAAAAAATGGTTTTTATTCTCATTCTAAAAGCTTAGTATTGTGATGTTCTTTTGCAGATTTGACAATTTAAAACAGACACAAGTGAAACTAATGTTTTCTTTCCTCTAGCTGTTGTTTTTATGTAACATTTTTAAAAATTCACACTCACTTGATTTGTGTTTCCTGACATTCCCTGTTTCCCTTACCTCTCTTCTTACATATAAAAACATGTAGTGATTACATACACAACTGGAACAAAACCCACATCCTTTAGAAACAGCTAATGGCTAAGTATGTTAAGTGCAATCTCTTAATGGATAAATATTATCCTCTCTCTGTATATTTGCCATATTTATTCCCAAACCTTTGTGATATCTTTAAGGTTGTAACCCATATTTCAAAGATCTGTCTTCCTTTGTTCTAATCCCAAATCCATTTGGTAGCCATGTCTATGCATGGTGTTAATGTGGGATGGGGTTGTCTCTAAAGACTGCTGATGTGTGTGCAACACCCATCATAGCTGGTTGGGTTCAACTATACAAACTCCCAGGACCTGGAAGGACCACATCTTGCACCACTTTACTTTGTGAAGGTCAGGGAACTTGCCGGGGCAACTTAAGTGTACATTGCCTCCATGGGAAATATCACAACAGTGCCCACAGACTACATAGAAGGATGCAGGGCAAAAATCAGTCATTCAGCAAATATAAATAAACACCCAAAATGTGTCAACTCTAGCTGTAGAGTCCATAAGGGACTACTCCCCTTTTTAACAGCCCTGTGTTTATAGTGTCTTTGAGTCCTGACCAGGGACAAGGGTAGGAACAATTAGTACACGAATTCAAAGAGCCCAAGCTGTGGAGCCTAGCAGATATTTATGATCATTTACAGCTCTTTGCACTTGGATGCAGGGCATTCTACCAAAAGCAGGTTTGCTTAGTCATACAGCTGATTTTCAGGGAACTGAGCTAGAAAGCTAAACCAAGGTCAGTTCTATCCCTTGTAGGAGAATGGAGATTGGAACATCCCACCTAACCTGTTATGTATTGCATAATCATGGCCCTGTTTTTTATATTGGTCCGCTTGCATTTTTGGTTCCTTTTGTAAGGTCCCTTAGCTAATAACTGCCTCTGCAGAAAAGGTAGTAATAGTTTATGTATTTTAAAGGGCCAGATGGGAGCATTTCTGTCCAGGTTAGGATCAGTACAACCAGTGTCATAGAGTACATAGGCCTGCTAATTAACCATATTTTTGTATGTTAATATTCTTTTCTGTACCTGGGGAGAGTTGCTTACAGGACCAATTGTGAGATGCTGCCAGTTTGAAATTAGAAATATTAAAGGATGGAAAAATTGGTTCATGTGTTATGTGCACAGAGCTCATTTTGTTTGGGTGTTAGCAGATTGCCTAGGGTTTTTCTGCATATGAAAACTGAAATTCAGTTAAAGAACATACTTTTATTTGTGTCCTTCTGACTTGTCTGATGTCAGATATGGTTATAGACACATTAAGCCAAAGGATGGACCTGGTGTTCACAGTATATATGAGCAGTTTGTTTATAAAAAATCATGCTTTAACCGTAACAAGAACTCTACCATTGAGCTGCATCCCCAATCCCCTAAGATCATGCCTCTTGGCTATGGTTTTAAAACAGTTTTGTTTTGGGTGATTGTGTGGCATTTTTTTTGCCTCGTGGGGTGCCATGGTTTGAGTGTGTCCTCCAAAGTTTAATGTGGGAAGTTTGATCATCAGTGTGACATTGGTGACATGTAGTGGATCCTTTAATAGCTGGAGTCTAGTGCAAGATGATTAGGTCATTAGAGTTACTGCCCTTAGACAAGATTAATGTACTCCTTATGGAATCCTATATGTTTTATGTGAGTTATAAGAAGAATAAGCCTAGTCCCTGAATATCTGTTTTTTGTTTTGTTTTGTTTTTGTCTTGGTATGTGATTTCTCCCTCTTGCATGTACTTCTGCTGTGATGTCATGGTCATGCCTTCTGAAGGTAGTTCTCAGGAGAATTTATAAAAGGAGTGAGTCTGGCCCCACCCAGCTTCTCTCTGATCTGATTTGAGAAGTTATCATTTGCTTGGTTCTTGCTTTTGCTGCCTGCTACAGGAGGTGATAACAACTGAAGGGTGGCCTTTACCAAGGCTGCATTATGCCATTTGAACTTTCAGCCTCCAAAACTCTAAGCTAAATAAACTTCTTTATAAAATAACTTGTCTCAGGTATTTCATTATGGTAACACAAGCCCACCAATACATTCATATACTTAATTTATTTAATGTGACAACACCAAAATGTACTCTTGGCAGTTTTCAAGTACACAAACTACTTTATTAATTATAGTCACCATGATGTACAATGGATTTCTTGAACTTATTCCTCCTAAGTGAAAATTTGTATCCTTTGGCAAATATCACCCCACTCCCTAGCCCCTACTTAGCTAATGTGAATAATGCTGCAGTGAACATATGACTGTAGGTATCTTTGTACTGATTCTGTATCATTTGGATAATATACCCAGTAGCAAGATTGCTGGATTATACCATAGTTCTATTTTTTTAAGGAACTCTATACTGTTTTCCATAATGGCTGTACTAATTTATATTCTCACCACCAACATACAAGGTTTTCTCCAAATCCTCACCAACATTTATGTTTCATATTTTTTGTAAAGCTACTCTGACAAAAGTGAGGCGGTAAGTCGTGGTTTTGGGTTACGTTTCCCTCATTAGTGGTGTTGAGCCTTTTATCATATATACTTGTTGCTCATTTATCTGTCTTTTCAGAAATGTCTGTTCAGGTTCTTTAACATTTTTTTTTTTTTTTTGGTACCAAGGATTGAACTTGGGTGCTTAACCATTTAGCCACACCCCTATCCCTTTTCATTTCGTTTATTTATTTTGAGATAGGCCTGGCTAAGTTGCTGAGGCTGACTTTGAACTTGGCAATCCTCTTACCTCAGCCTCCTGAGCTGCAGGGATTACAGGTGTGTGCCACTGCACCTGACTTCTTTGCCTTTTTTTTTTTTTTTGGTGGTTGGGGTGGCAGGCGGCTGCTGGAGATTGAACTCAGGGGAACTCAACCACTGAGCCACATCCCCAGCCCTGTTTTGTATTTTATTTAGAGACAGGGTCTCACTGAGTTGCTTAGTGCCTCACTTTTGCTGAGGCTGGCTTTGATCTCATGATCCTCCTGCCTCAGCCTCCCAAACTGCTGGGATTACAGGGGTGCACCATCACGCCTGGCTTCTTTGCCATTTTTAAAATGGATTTTCTTATTATTGAGTTGTTCC